AAAAAGTAAATAATGTGCAGAGGCTCTGCCTGGTTGTATTTGATATTTGTCATCTTTAACCTTCCAAGCTGCAGCTCTGCTCTTTAACCAGTTGGAATTTAAATGTGTTGTTACAGTAGCGTCTTTGCTGGAGATGGACCATGACTCGTGCTCATTAAGGCTACAGATGTCTGCTCAGATTATGTATTTCAAAAGCTTTTTCTCTGATGGACTGTGAAAAGCCAGGCTTGAGCAGAGGATTGTGAAAGATAAAATAATAGACCCTCATCCCTGTGTCTGGCAGACTTAATGCCATTACTCTCAGATCTCTGTAAAACTTCAAGACAGCAAATTTGTTCACAGTCAATAAGATAGCCCTCTGAGCACAACTCGTTATGTTTCCTTTATCAGTCTTTTCCTAAATTACTCACAAAGCTTTTTACACTCCAAAAAATCTCTTATCTGCAAATTCAGCATTTCCAAGATAATAAGGTTTAATAGGCATAAGTGGCATTGATAAACTGTTTATATGTCGTGTGAGTAGAAAACATAGATTTTCTTAATCGGGGTGGGGGGAAGCATGAAAGAATAAATACTCCATGAATTTAAGCTAAAATAGCTAGCCCACTCACCTTTTTTTTTGTGAATTTGTTTTTAAAAGCAGAGCAGAGCAGAGCTTTTTAAACCTGCCTGGATAATACCTGCTTCTTCTCGGAGAAGATGACGGAATTTTCAAGAAATTCCATTTAATTACTTCTGTGATGTGTAAATATTTGCTGAAAGTTAATAGAGCAGAACTAAAGTGTCGTTGCTTTTTCTTTCTGGAGTCATGCATGTCCAGCTAAGATTTTTCAGGTGTTCTTACATCTCACCTTCTCCCTATTAAAATGTGCTCAAAATGGGTAGAGGTTCCTCAGGCAGTCTCAGCTAGTTACCCACCAAAAACCAGAATCTTACCAAGAAGTTACTCATTTCAGCATGATCAGATATATAGTAAGATGAAGAAAAAACTTGGTGTGAAAGTAACTTGTATGCAAAAGCGCCTTGTAGTTCTGCTACTTTTGTTTCAGCTGTGCTATAGAGCAGTTTTCTTGCCAGACCATTATTTTGGAAGACCATTAAGGGCAGTTCACTTCTCTTCCTTGAATGGGAAGGGCCCTCTGTAGGGCTACAAGTCAAGCAGTGTTGATAGGCTCAGGTAATGTTACTTCCATCATTTGCTGTTTTGGATTTACTGACTCTACTAGGAAAGGGAAGTTAGATGCAGATTGGTTGGTCTGTCTTGGTTTAAACTACACCACAGCAGAAGCTATAAATGCCACTGGACTTCCACTTGTGAGCATGTTTTGCTAAGGGACATTAAGATTGTGTCTTCTAGGCCTAGAAAACCTACCTATAAGGTAAGAAGGTGGCTGTTATGGTGGTGGAAGAAGACTTTGTTTCTATGATAGCTGTATCTTCCTAGGCAGAACTCCGTCTCAGAGATACAGCGTGCCTCTGTCTGTCCCTGTAAAGGCGTAAGGACAATGTGTGTTTAGGGAGCTGGATTCTTTGCATGGGGAGAGAGTCTCCATGCAAGGTACTCAGCACTGCCCACGGCAGTAGAAAAAGCACTTGACCTATAAACCAAATCCTTTCCTCTTCATGGGATATATCAGTGCAGCTCCATGTTAGAGACACACAGGCTAGAACTAGCTGAACTGATGGAGATGCTAATTGAGATCCCTGAAGCAGTACTGCTGTGTTGGCTGGTTCAAAAGTTGCACCAGATAGTGCTATTCAAACAGCCCCTTCACGGCTGGACTTCTGGTTCAGAGCTCCCCATACAGACCTGTAGTCCCTAGCCTAGGCATGCCCTTAGATTGCTCTTGTTCTCAGAGGTATGCCCAGATAAATGGGAATACAAGCCACATATCTAAAAACCTGAAAAGGAGTAGTTACTGATAAACAAACAGGTGTTTCATTAGCCACAGTAATCCCAAAGCTCCAAAACAGCATGTTAACAGCAAATTTATCCAGAATCTATGCAAGATATACGGGTGGTTGTTGTATGGAAAGGATCATAAAGCCATATAAAATATATGTTTTGTTTCAGACTATTCTAAAGCTGGTCATCAGATCTCATCTGACTTTTGACAAGATGTTTTTTCTTCAGCAATCCAGTTAATCTGTTTGGGTTTATGGAGGCTTTTCATGCGGGACTTAGAGGATGCTATCCTAAACAGATGGATAACCTTGAAAGTTTTGAAAAGAAGTAGATGTATAATTCACTTCTCTCATTTTTCTATCCTTTTATGAAGATATGAAGAAAAGAGACTGTGCTGTTGCAGAATGATCCCATGGTAACTAATTAGGTCCCTCAGGTCTGCAAAGGCATCCTGTTCTGTCTTAGGCCAGTGCACAGTAACCAGTCAACCAAGCTGAATGGAAGTCTTGTGGTATTTTACTGGGATGTCATAATATATTTGCCTTCCTTGCACTGAAGAATTGAAGGTAGTGGTATTCGTCCACGTATCATCCTTTGCAAATAAATTTGTTGATGTTTGCATAAAAGTGATCTACTTGTCACTATACTCCCTACGCTGGCCCTTGTCTGTGGTATGTGACATGAATTCATTTCTCAGCTGGTGAACTCAGGGAGTGTATTGAAGAAGCCACAGCAATACGTGATGAGCTATAATTAAAATTACTAATACATGTAAATTCCTTTCCTCCCTTCTGCTTTGATTTACATTCTTCATGCAGACTTTGTTCACTTTGCTGAGTGAGCCAGAGACTTACTGTTGACGGGTAGCAATGGTTTCTGCTCTCTCTCCAGCACAGTTGCATGGGGAAATAAAATTAGTAGGGATCCTTGCTGCAGTGTGACACTAGGTATCAAGAAAACTCTGGGGCTTGCAGTTGGCCTCCAAAGCTCTGCTCTGTTTGTAGTGGCATCCTCAGTAAAACAGATGTATTTAAGAGTGGTAGTTTTTGTAGTCAGTAGCAGGACCAATAATCAAGTTCTCCTAGTTCTGGCAGAGTCTTTCCCATCTCATCCCTTCTTACTAAAACATATATGATTTTAAATGGAGGTGTTTAAAGGATTAGCCGTTTTATGTTGTATTATCTTACCTAATGAATACATAAGTTATTTTTAGTGATTCTGGAAAGTGTGGTTTGATGTTTAACCGTGGAAGTGAACTGCCAAAATCAAATATTGAGAGAAATACCCAAAGCATCTAGATGCAGAACAATGGGTGCTTGAGGAAAGCTCTTCTATTATGCCAGACACAGCTGGTATAGGTATATAATTCATTATTTTGTTGCTGGAGAAATTTGTAAGTGGCTTTGTCGCAATTCTGAGTGACCAGAAAGCGGTTTTAGTTGATAAGTGAAAGAAAGGGAAATCGTATGTTAAGATTTACTGTCCCGGCCTTCTGCAGTAGGAAATGAAGAATTTGGATGGATAGTGCTCTTGTAATTGTGTGGATTTTGGAGGTCAAGGGGTTAGTTTTGTTTTGTTTGTTTTTTACTCAGCCTCTCATTTTTCTTGAGGTAGATGAATGTCTTATATCAGTATAGTATTTTTCTTTTTGAGGCTAATGAGGAGTTACAGCTTGCAGAGAAATAGAAATTCTCCCCCCAAAAAGAAAACATTACTCAAAGGCTGTATGACCTTGTGAACAGAGGGCTGAAACAGAGGTGGGGGAGCATGGTTCTGTGGTGCTGGCACCGGCCTCAAGTGCAGCAGCATTGCATCTCTGTGTTTATGCCATTTTGCTTCTCTGAGTCTCTTTCCTCCTTTGCATTTTGTTGCCTTTCATTGTGTTTTCTCATAAGATGCGTGTGCAGTTGAAGATCCATTCTGATGTTGTCCGAAGTCATCATTCCATTAACTTCTTCATTCTGCGGACCCAGGGCCCGGGTGGGAATTCCTTCTCCTGTATCATGGCTCTGAACAAATCCAACTGTAACTTCTCTTACAATTCTTGGAAACTTTGCCGATTCCTCAGTGCCTCCTGCAAATAAAACATATACTATATGCTATGTGAAGTGCTGCTTCTGATCTGGTCTTCTAATCTCTTCTCATCATCCCTTTAATACTGCAGTTTAGGGTTGTGCTTCTGCTCCTACTCCCTGCCACGCAGTTACCATTTCCAACCATTCTCTTCATCATTTCCATCTCAGATGGAAGCTCACTTGTCTGATCTTTCCTGGCCTCAGCCCAGCTCATGTTTTTCTTTTTCTCATCTTGTTCTATCCTAATCTGTTTTTTTGTTTGGTTTGGGGCTTTTGTTTTGTTTTTACCATTTGCTGCTTTCACTTCAGTCTGCTTTTAGACTTTAACATCTCTTACTGGTATCACATCTACCAGGCTTACATTACTGTTTTTGCTGTTTCAAGGCCTTTTCTTTTAAATTTTTTTACAGCAGGAGCTCTTATCATAAACATCCAAATAACCACCTTTTACTGGGCAGCTATCTGTATTTTCCCCTGTACTTATTTTGGGCTGTTAGATCTGTGGAGCACAGGATGTAGTGGCTGCCTTTTTTGATATACTCCATATAAACTTTGACTGCACTGCAAAGTTATCATTAAAAATAAAGATCTGGCCTTTTACATCTGGGATTCTGGTGTGCTTTGCTAGGTGCAGCTGAGGTGCTGTGCTTATGACTTGGAACTGGGAGCCTCATCTCTGGAAACAAGAAGTTACGACATAGAGCTAGGGATGGGGGAGATACTCCCAGGATAGTGCACATGCTTCCTGCTGCGGTGTATATTTTCTTCTTTCTCAGTTTGTCTCTCCCTAGTAGTTTATCTGCTGACATTTATTGCTGGTGAGGATGGGCTGAGTGATAGTCAGCCAATCTCTGGCTTGCATGTATATGCTTTTAATAAGCTAATTTTTCCCAATCCAATAAAAATAAAAAGGAAAACTTGCTTTTGTCACAGAGTGCATTAGCAGAAAACGCAGCATAAGTTAAGAGCATGTTTATATGGAAACAAATCTCAGGGTTCCTTTTCCTTTTGTCTTGCAGAGGCAGGCAGCGGCCAGGATTACGTAACCTCAGAAAATCAGCTGCTGTACTACCCCAGTATTACCTACGCTATCATTGGCAGCTCTGTCATTTTTGTCCTCGTGGTGGCCTTCCTTGCCTTAGTCCTGCATCACCAACGGAAACGCAACAATCTCATGACCCTGCCAGTGCATCGACTGCAGCACCCTGTCCTGCTGTCCCGGCTGGTGGTCCTTGATCACCCACACCACTGCAGCGTCACCTACAACGTCAACAATGGGATCCAGTACATGTCCAGCCAGGCCTACCACAGGCCAGTGGACCTGGACTCTCCACCATCCTATTCGGAGGCTGTGCTCGACCAAAGGTAAGTACAGGAGCCAATTCTGGGCTCAGCAGAGTTTCACACCTACTGGTTGCAGCTCTGTTAATCTGTGCTTCTGCTCCCCATTTATTTGTGTGCTGCTTTTGACAGAAGTACAGCATTGCAATTCTGGCACATGCATAGGACAAAATTGGGCAAATATGAACTCCTGCATACGAAAAATTCATGGTCCTCACATCCCCTTACTGTTACTGGAATTAAAGGTATTTAAGGCAATTGTAAGTCATGCTCTCTTTGCACGTGCTGTTGGTAGTAGAGATTTTGAGGATGGCAGAGAACACAAAGAAATGTTATCACTTGTAGTGATATCCTGTGCCAGTCTGGAATCCAAGCATGAAAATTGAATTTGGAGGTTTGCCAAAAAACAGCTAGGTTATAGGTCATACTATTTTAAAAAACCTTACCCTGGTCACATATGGTAAGTATATAAAGGTGAGAGGTCTTCAGTTCTTGCATAAAGCAATTGTACAGCCCCTCTCCTCTGCCCTACTTTCCCTGTACCAGTAGAAGAAAAGAACAGGATTCTGAAATGGAAAGCGCTGTTCTCATTTTATATAGCCAGAAGTGCTTTGAAGTGTTGTGGGTGGGTGTGGTTTGGGTGATGATATTTTTGTAGTTATGACACTGATTTTATTTGTAGATAATTAACCTTTGTTTTAACCTCCGTCTGTAAAATCTTTCCAAACAAAACTCCTAGACTGTCATCCTCTGTACGTAAAAAGAGCATGGTGTAAAGTTTAATGATCCAGACTGTTCACTGTCACCCTGTCGGTGTTTTTTAGTACAAACTCTGGCATCTAAGAATGACAGTGTAATCATTTACATTCCTCTTGTCTACTGCATTTGGCAGCAGCTCCCTTGTCTTAATGTTGACATTCATAATAATGGTATCTTTTCATTAGTAAGGTCAACAAAATGGGCAGCCATCCAGACTGTAATCACTTCTCACCTGGGCTGATATAAACCATCAGCAATTTCAGAGCTAGTTATTCCCAGGACCCATAATCTGCTAAACCTTTCAGTCCCTTTACTTGTTTACTTTCAGAACAAAAAAACCCCAATTTTCCTGAATCCAGTACTCGTCTGTGCCTACTTAGCAGTTGCTCTGCATGTGATATTATGACAGCAAAAGTGATTTGTCATGTGAAGAATTCAGGTCATTATTTATTTGTAGACTGTAAACCATTAATCTCTGTCACTTAATGGAGGTTTTCTTGCAGCTTTCTATGTTCACATCTTTATCTACAGGTGTAAATCCACTGCTTACCTTATTTCTTTTAAAGCACTTTCTTGAGGTGTGTAAATGTTATACAGAAAAAATTCTTACCTCTTGAAGCTGTCTTTGAGGGTAAGCTGAGATTTGCTGGAATTGCATACCCGTGAAAATCAACAGTGTTAAGCAGGATGTAATTGGCTATTTTGCATCTTGACCACAAACCTTAGTGCCTAGTGGATGTTTTGGAATGACCTGAAAAATGTAGGCAGGCCTGTTTGAGATCTCCGGGTAGATGTCATCGTGGAAAAACTAAAAAATATGGTTTCCAATATTTTTTCTAAATTTTTTTCAAAAAAATGTTTTTTATAATTGTAAAACTATGTACTTTCTTCCCTACCACTGTTTTAAGTAACCTCTTACGATGTTGTGTATCTCACAGCAGACCACCTTGGTTCGACCTTCCTCCACCGCCTTACTGTCCTGAGTCTGAATCCACAAACCAGCCAGATCTTCCTCCTTACCGATCTCGGACGGGAAGCCTGGTGAGCTCGGACACTCCTGTGGCAGGAAGCCCTCTGGGCACGGCCGTCAGCTGGACAAGAGACGTCCATGACAGCGTGGATGGCCACAGAACTCTTCTGGAGAGGACAGCAGATCAGAGTGATTCTCTGGTTGGCCACATAGCTGAAAGAGAAGTGTAACTGCTCCAGTATTTGGGCTGGGCAGGAAGGCATTTACTTTGTCAAGTCTCTAGGGGTTAATCTGCCGTGGCTAATAGGTTTCGGGGGAACTTGTGCCTGAATGATGACTTGATTTGAATGCACACTAAGTTAATAGCTGAATTCATCATTTTGGGCTCATCAAAGACAGAGCTGTGAGAGCTATACCTAGAGTCACATCAGCTTTCCACATTATTTCTGCAAGCAAGTTCCAGATCAAACTAATAAGAGAAACATCAGTGCTGGGTCAAAGAACTGATGTGATGTATTTCTTGGACTGTTTACTGTATATGAATGTATATATGTGCATGTATAATATATACAGATGTTGCACACAAAAACTTTGCCAGAAGGACTCTTGTTCTCAGACTGCCTCCTGTCCTGTGGACATGTGAGCTGTTTCTCTTACTGCCCGTGCCAGCTGGTGGTCACTGAAGCACGGGAGCAGCAGTCTTTGTGCTTGGAGGTCTGGTGCCCAATGCTGGCCCACGGGCAGTGCTCAGATTGCAGAAAATGACCTACTTGACCCTTCCCTACATCGCCTAGAATATTCTCACTGTGAATGTAATTTTCAAAGTTTAAGCTTGTGAGGATGCAACAACTCTCTAAATGAGCAAACAGAGTTTTTTCCCCAGATGTTAATATCTAGGCCAAATATACATGGGTTTTCTCAGGAACACCACAAAAGTTGTCTTATCTGTCAAACTTCAAGGCTGAGCACAGAGGCACTGAAGCTTCTCAACAACCAGCACAAGACTTCTTTTCAGGCATGGCAAAACAACATCACTCCATGTGTTCCTTAAAAAAAAAAAACAAACCAACAAACCCCACAACCAAAAATACCCCATACTGTTTCAGCTAAATCTTGATCACCAAAACCAGCCCGAGGCAAACACCCATCACGGAAAGTGTTAATGTGAATGACTAGTTTGTTATATTTGTAAAATAGCTAAAAGCAGGTCATGTAGTGAAATGTGTTGGGCTTGCTGACCGTGTCTACAGGGTGTATGCATACATGCATGGATACACATGTTTAATACTATGTGTACATATGTAAGTAGGTTTTTTTGCATAGATTTAGTTCTGCTGCACCAGTAGAACTCAAAAATACCAAAGTCTCACTTAAGATATTCTCATGGGGGTTTTTATGGAGTTTGCTATTCATTTGGTTAAAATTGTAGCTTCTACAGAAAACCAGAATTATTTGTGCCTGTTTTGTCCTAACTCTTGGAGTGGTCTCCTGTGAAGTGTGTTGAATCACCTGTGTGAAAGCATCTTGGAGGTAAAGGTATTCAGAGTGGCAAGAGGGGAGGTAAGCTGTGAATTTAAATGCCACTTCAGTGTCGTGTGCTCAGTATACAGAAAACAGTGCAGTGCCATCCTCTTGTCCAGAGGGAAATTGGCCTTGAAAAATTGTTTATATTTGTCTATCAGACACATATCCCACTCCTCCTTCCACATAATGAACATTGTCATTAAACAGACTTTGCTGTTCAATGGAAATGAAGGAAGCTGACTGCCCACACCTTCTGCTTTCTTCCTCCCCATCTTTCTAAGGTAATTTCTTTCACCCGAAGGTTATATGCTCAGAACCCAAGAATTTTTGAGCTTGAGTGTAGGTAGGGGAATGACTCAAGTTCAGTCTCATTTCCCACACATACACCTGAAAATTTTTTGTGTGGGTTGTTTGTTGTTTTGGTTTTTTTTTTTTTCAGCTCTAGTGTCTACTGCCATGCAGGGGCCAGATGAATTTAGAAGCACAGGTCATCCCAGGACTGAGCTGACACAGTGGGGAGCATTGGAGAATTCTAGTGCTGATGGGCTTGGCTGCCTTTGGAAGCCGATTAATGGAAGGTTTTCATCACAGGCTTAGGCAGCCTGTCTTGAAGGGCCTTGGTGAAGATGCTCCTAGGTCTCTGTAAAGCAGTGCACAAGGTTGGGTCAGCTTTCATGCTTGCTGGGAGATCAAGCAGTGTAATTATGCTGTCCTTCACAAAGCAGGACTTGGCTACTTAATGACTCCGGCTTGATAGGCAAATTGTTATTGTCACAGAGCAGACAGTTAATCTTTATTTTACAGGTAGGTTAAACTCAGGTACATAGCTGAGTTAATAGTAAAGGTGGGTGCAGGGGTGTCTTCTGTGAGCATCGGGCCCTGCTGTCCCTTTTGCCTTTTGTTAAAGTTCTGCTCAGCCTCTCAGAGCTACGTAATGGTGTATCACAATTAGCCTTAATGTTTTTCTGTTGCAGTCTTTAAAGCACTATATGAAAACATATACTATTGAAGAGTTTGCAGTAGTTTCATTAGAACTAGACATCTTTTTAATGTTAAGGTTGCCTAAGGCTGTATTAGTGAAACTAAACCATTGTGCCCAGTCTAACTTTCATGGCACACACCCCTCACACAAGCCTTCCATGGGGGACTGCGTTTCACCATGTGTATCCTCAGACACCAGGATGTCTGCAAACCAAGTATTGTTTGCCTATGGCATCGCAAAAACATTGCCTTGCATTGCTAAGAAGTTGGAAAAGAGTGGACATAGCCTGCTGCTTCTGCCTTCTGTGTCAGTCACTGTCACATATGTACATATATATATATATATATATTTAAAAAATATACTCTTCTAGGTTGTATATATTCATGTAACTTTTGCATTAAGATAATCCATTTGGACTTTACAAAAAAAAAAAAAAAAAAAAGGAGAAGGCATTCTAAATGGTGTGACGTTTTCCCTTCCAGCTAAGGGTGTATTTATCTTTGTATAGGAATTGTTTAGTTTATGAGAACACGAGTTACAAAAGGAGATTGTGCCTTTCTGGTTGAATGTTGATTTGGGAGGCTGTTAACTCCATTTCTGGGTGTTGTTACATATCATTGTCTAGAGATCCAAAAAGAGAAACAGTCTCGTCTTCCTCTTTGTTGTTCATCATGGGGACCACTGAACTTTGAGGGGTACGGAAGTTAGTATCTTGTTCTGAAAACTTAAAGAGGGTTTTCATCTTGCTCCAGTTTTCTGGTTTGTAGAACAGATTTGCTAGCTGATTTGTTTGGAAATTGCTATAGTATCACACAGAAATTGTTTATAACGTGTCACTTCTAATAGTGTTAATACAGCATTATACTGCATTATTCAGTGGAGTCGTTGGGAAACCACGATAGCAACAACCACACTGATGAAATTAAATATTTCACTAAAAATCCTGCACCTTGTAAAGCTGGAGTTAAATGTTCATGAAATACCATGTGGAACAATTTCTTTCCAGTAGCTGGTAAAATTGGGATTGATCATTCTATTGTTTGCAGTTGCTCTTAACTTTTTAGTTTAAGGTTAGTCCTCCAGGAGCTTTCCTTTGTACTTAGTATTTGAACAGGTGGATGTTATTTCAAAGTCCTGTTCTCACAAAAGTAAAACCAATTAAAGCTTTCTTCCAGAGCCAAATTCTGATTCCGCATCTGTATTGAACGGTGACCACTGTAATGAGTAGTTCTCCTCAGCACAGCTATTAATATATTTGATTGCAACAAAGCAATTTGAAAAAATGACCACTTGAGGTAAATGAAGGAATGTGGATTAGCCTCTTGGAAATCAGATTTGGGTGATTTAAAAATAAATAAATTTTAGGAGTTTTGAGTGTCTGTAACCTCTGCTGAAGTCAGAGTGCTGTGTATTTAAAATTAGGCCGTTAGTGAATCTGCTTGATAATAATCTGCAGTTCCTTGTAAGGCAAATTACAACTTACCTCTGCTGTTGTGCTAATGGAAGACTGGTGGTAATGCTTCTAAAAGAGAGCCTGTGAATAATTTTCTTGGCTCTTGTCTACAGTGACATACATGACAACACTGACTGCACTGCGATTTTTAAATAACTCTGCATTCATTCTTCCTCTCCTTTTAAGTCAAATACGTTTTATTTACACCACTTCACTTTGATACAGCTAATAGGGCCCTTGTGATAGATTTAGAAGCTGGGTGGAGGAAAAAGATGATGACTCTTGTTTTAATTAATGCTGCAGCTTGTTAATCTTGGGCGCTTTACTTTTTAGACATCTTGGGAAAGACAAATGGTTTTAGTAGATAAGGAAAAACTATTAACGATGAAAAGGATAGAGGGACACTGATTCTGAAATTTAGTTTTTAATGAATATTTTAAATTGTATGAACAAAGGAAGAATTTAATTCTGTATTTTTCACGTGGTGATCAGACGGCAAGTACTGGTTTTTGGCTGTTGCTCATCAGAAGCTTCTTTACATATAAAGCCTGGAACTAAAATGATAAGACAAGTGCTCTTCTTTGCGGTTCAGACTAGATCTGAAATTTTTTATTAGCACAAGGCTATATTGTACCCATGGACTAAAATATGGACTGCAGAAAGAATTTCAATACCATGCTGAATTCTGCCTGAATGTACCTCAGTACTGTGGCCTTCATTTGTCCTTTTCTTTTTTCCCCCCCTTATTTGAGGGGTTTTGTCAACTTGAAATGCAGATGTAATACAAGAGCTTTAGGGGAGGTTATCTGTTGGAACCCAACCTTGTCTTAAACTTTTGTAAACTGGAAATCTTCAAAATTGTATTCTGTTTTCCTGAATAAAGTTGGTGGTTTAATACTACTCACAAGTAGGATGTCCCCTGTCTCATGAAGTCTCAGCTGTCTTAGTTTTATAGCTTTATGTGGTTGTATAGTTCTATAACATGAGGCTGCTTCTGTCTTTCTTTGCATTCAGTGTTTTGTTAAATCTTCATGGGGTTTAAGTGTGTTTTTGAAAGTAAGTGATACTGGAAGCCCACAGATGTGTATAAAAATATACTGAAGCGTACGTCTCCGTATTTATACAAAAGAAAATTGCTTAATTTCATAATTTCTCGTTCTCATTTGCCAATCTGTACTATCAAAAGACGAGGCATCTGAAGCAGTCGTGTTTTGTTGTTGTCTGCTTTGTGAACAGATCCCTAGAGGCTTCGGCAGAGACTGGTGCTCTGCACGGGTTGAGGCATATGAACATACTGGCAGAGCCAAGGGGCCTTCAGTGCTTCTCCCTCCCCCTTTTTCCCTGCGCAGGGTCCCTGCGTATCTCTGGGGGTCCAGGTGCCCGTTGATCCGCTGTGGGAGGCTGGGGGGTCTGGCGTCGGGGCCCCCTCCCCAGCTGACTCCTGATGCACCACCACTGTCGTGGGAACCACCCAGCCCCACGAAGTCCAGAGCCCCTTGACAGCTGGATCATAGCCATGCTCCTTGCCAAGGTTCTTCATTAGAGACAGTCCTGTCACCCAGAGGACTGCCATTAAGGAGTGCCCTTTACATTACGGAGTTATTTTTGCAGGCTAAAAAGAAATGGGTTCAAATGTTATGTCTCAATATTTCAATCTATATAAGCATATAGAGGGCAGCGTCTTTCACCTCCATGACTCATCTCCCCTTGCTACCTTCACAAAGCACGTCACTTTTATCATTATCCCGGTTACTCAAGTCACATACCCTCACCAAATTTCTCAGATGTTAATCTTTGTTTGACACTGGCAAACTGCCCCAGCATAAATAGCTGTGGAGCCAGAATTAACACCAGTGGCACAAGGGAGGTGGAGCTGCTGAGATGGCCACGATGGGCGCTGGGGTCTCAGAGCTGGCCCAGTCGCTCATGTCCCAGCAAGAGCTGTGCTTGAGAAACATTGATTCAGAAGATGGCCGCTTATGAAAATAAATAGCATACTCTCCCTGTTTAATCATTTTTATTCTCTCTGCTTCGATTTGTGTAAAGATGTTCATTTTTATACCTTAGAAATTAAGTGTGCCATTCATTTCAGCAGTGATTTCTGAGTGCAGCATCTTTCCTTGCTGATTAGCAAGCAGTCTCTGAATCATTCAGCCTCAGTTGGTGAGAGAAATAAATAGCATTTCGCTTTTGGGGGAGTTGTCGTCCAAAATTTTGTGCTGTTATTAATTGAAGTAAAGGCATCTTCCTGCAGAAATTCATAGCTCTCCTTCGCTTTTCAAAGCTAAGTTGAGGGTATGCATATTGCATAAAGCACTTTGCAAGAGTGGATTGATCTCTCTAGGAAATTAACTTTGCTTATCTGCCAAACATACTGTGAATAGATAAACTGAAACGTGATTCTCTGCTTCCCAAAATGCCAACAGTATTCCTTGCAGCCTCCCTGAGGGGACCACTGCAGATGAAAAGGCAGAGCAGTTCTGCAGCTGATCTGGCCCTTAGCTTTTCTGTGGGAACGGGCACAGAGTGGGTCAGCAGTGCCATTGCTTTGGTGCTGGATACCATACAGAAGACCTTTCTCACTAAGAACTGATTTTGCACCATCGCTTCCCAACAGCCACAAGTAAGTGAAGTTTTTTGGTGGTTTTTTTAATAGCTCTCACCCAAGGTTACTTCCAGTTACCCTGAGGTAAAAAATTTTATATCTCATTACTTGATACCACAGCCTGTAACTCCTTCAAATTTCTCAGCACAAAAGTACGGCAGCCTTCACTTGTGTAAGAACAAAAGGAGCAATAGCTCCGTCTGACCCACAACAGCTCACCTCGGGAGGAGCATCCCAGCAGCGTCAGAGTGATGGAGTGAATGAATGAATGGTCTGCTGCGTTTATTTGGAATACCCGCTATTTCCTTGACAAATGCAAGTCGTGTTGCAGCACAGTGATGAAGAAATATGATGTTTTATTTGACAGAGTGGGTTTTTTTCTTCTTGTTTCTGACAGTTATCTTTTAGAAAATGCTCTTTGCCCAACACTGTACCCAGAGTAGCGTTAGCTTCCAGAGTCCAGGGTAAGGGGAGGACAGTGAGGTTAGCTGTTTGATATAGATATAACCCTTTTTCTTAAGTGTTTCAGCTGTTATACCTGAATAAGAAATATTTAAATGCTGCACAATAAGTGTGTTCCCAGGCTAAGGCAACATGGATGCTATCTGGCTGCTCTTTTGCTAGTTTCTGTGTACTCAAATACAACACAAAGCCAAGAGCAAAAATTCTACTTGGATCTGTGTTGCTGTATTTATTGTTCTCCCTTGGCAGTCTGTGTAGAGCAGAGCAGTTAGCAGAACCAATGAATTACCCAAACTGGGTTTGGAGAGGGTGCTGCTTCAGAGTAACAGAGCTGGCTTAAAGATCTTCTTTCAGGGTGTCGTGTTAGATATGCTGGTTAAGGTATGGATTACATGAGATAAAATCATACCTGAGTTTCTACAGGGGGAAAAACAAAACAAAACAAAAACCAAACACAACAACCCTGTGCATCTGAGAGATGCAGCAGATACTCATGAGCAAAGCCAGTCTCTCTAGGAGCTGCAGGTCAGGGTCAGGAATTCCGGTGCCAGGAGTGTGGCTGGATCTGGTGCTGGTGCATCAGTCAGAGTTGAAAGCGACGGCTGTTACGGTTTTGGTAGCACCAGTTGGTCTATCTGATACCTGAAATATGTGAAAATCATCCTAGGCCGATTGTCACCTTCCTTCAGGGCGCTATACAGAAATCCTCTGGCTTCTTAGTTGAAGCCGTGTTTCTCCAGCAACTAATCACTCCTGATACTCTCTTCCTTTTTATCAGTTGCAGGGACCCGAGGAAGATTTGCACTGTTTGCTAAGTGACAACAGCCGAGACAGGGAGAGACATCCAGATGAGTTTTAGGAACAACAGAACCTGCATCTTCCAAGATCCAGCCTCCTGACCCCTGCGTGGTGCTGTCTTATCCATCCATTTGTAATCTTTTAAATCCATTCAATTTAACAAAAAAATTTTTGCAGATTTAAGAAAAAAGGAGAATAGGTAAATCTGGACCTGCAGGTAACTGTTTCAAGTTCTCTTCCTTTTTTTCAAAAATTCAGGCAGTAATTGAAAAACAGAAACAAATATTTGAATTCCATGTTTTCTCCTAGCCTCTAAGTACCAGTTTGCCTTATTTATATTTTCAGGCTTATTGAAACAGTTATTCTATATAGCTCTTTGTGTGGAGGAGAATTCTACTCTAGAATAAGTTTCCAGGATGGGACTTAACCTAGAGTTAGGTACTTCTGTAGGTTTCCACGGGTGAACAAATATGTGGACTCTGAATGTCTCCCAGAAGGGAGCTAGGGTGTGTTGGGAGTGGCTGGTTTAAAGATGCAAACTGCAGTTGCAGTATGTGGAGGGTAGGGGCTCAGGTTCCTTACAGGGGCTGTGGGAACACTGTCAGGGCCGGCACCAACATTTTTTGCTTTCTGCAATTGGGAAAGGAGGGGGGGGGGAAACGGGAGGAAGAAATACCATTTTGACCTGGAGTGTACAGGTAGCTCCTGTAGGGAGCTACAGAGAGAAGAGAGCGACCCGGCTGACTTTTATGCTGTCATTTGAGAAATGAGATCAAGATAGTGCTTTGAAGGGTGGCTTGGTAATGTTATTAAAAAAAAAATATAAAATTCCTCGGTTTCTTTTCTTGATTTCAGTGGGGTGAGAGTGGTTTGAAATTATTTTTGGATGTTATGCGGTTTTTTTTTTTCTTCCTTTGAAATTTTAGGTGAAGTTAATTATGGAATGGCAGCAGCATCTGATCTGAAGCAAACGCTTTCATCTCACCTCCTGCTTTTCAAATAGCTGCGCTCTTATCTCTGCTTTGAGGAAGGGGGTGCAGGGGGGAGAGCACCCCGGTGCGCTCTCAGCCTGGCGGTTGCCAGATGAATGAAAGGCCTTGTGAGATCTGAGGCCATTAAAGACTGCCAGCAAAGAATTAGTAAGACTTTAGGAGCTAATTTCCCATGATGACCGGAGGAATAATAAAAAAAAAAAAAAAAGCCATGATCTCCCAAAGACAAATGAAAAACATAAAAAATTAATGAGCCCAATTACTTTAATACTGTCCAAAATATGTTCTGTTTAAAAGAAAGCGGAAGCAGACAAGGATTGGAGATGTGATGGGTGTTTGCCACAATACCCACTGACAGCCTCAGTCACACAAACGCTGACATTAACCCCCTTCCCTTCGTTAATCACAACTAAATTGCAACTATTAAACATTATTAAGAGCCCACCACTATGCTGATAGCATTTTTTCTGTTTTAATCTGATAAAGCAAGCCAAGGAGCACCCAGCAGTGGCCAGGTGCACTCGCTGCACAGCGAGGCAGGGCACAATTTGGGCTGTCGGGGAGGGGGAGATGTGGCACCGAGACACAGGACTGAATGCAAAATCCCAGGAGGACGATCCCTGGCTGGGGAGGAAGAAGGAGGCAGGGAGCTGGAGAGCTTCAATTTGCTCTCTTCTTGCTGCCTGCTAATCATATCAAGGCAGAAATTGCCTTGTTTTATCCCTGGGTGGGCTGTACGCCCCACACGTGGTGGATCCCAGCTTGTGTGAGAGCTGGAATCGATACTGCTGTGTCCGGGGGGGCTCTGCTAAGCTGCTGGGTGATGAGGTTAATAACCCCTCTGCAGAGGTTAATAGCACTGCGTGATGTGCTGGCTGCCCCCACCGCTGCAGGGGTTACCCCTTATTTCTCAGGGACATGGGACTCGTCTCTGCAGGCACACCTGAGTGTTTCCTGTGCTTTTGAAGAAATGGGCATTTGTTTCAGTGGGAGCAGAGTCTGATCTGAGTTTCTACAATCACCTGTAGCCTGTAGTTCATCTCTTGTCCT